TTGCATGTCTATAATCCCACTGATATGCAGACTAACTCTAGTTCCCACTGAGCCACCACTCAATGGTTTGTGGTGCTACGAGTTGAGTCATAAGATCATTACTGGATTCCATGAGTGGGGACCTGATTGAAGTTTCTAGAACCACCACAGAGTTTTGAGTTATGTCGCAATTCACACGACTTTGGGCAAGTAATTTAACCTAACAGCTGCCCTATATATCTCACTGGATAGTTTCAAGGGTCACAAAGGAGCAACTGAATGCCATGCAGCACCAGAGCACGTTATGATACAAACTCTACCTTCAGGGCGCCTGGGTGGCTCAGTTAAGCGTCCGACTTCAGCTCATCATGATCTCACAGGGCATGAGTTCGAGCCCCACTATGTTGACAGCGCAGAGCCTGGAGCCGGCTTTGGATTCTGTGTCTCCCTCTCTCTGCCTCTCCCTTGCTCGCACTCTAACATACATTAAAAAAACAAATAAATAAAATAAATAAATAACCCACTTTCTACTATGGCCCTGATTCTTTGAGACAGAGTTCCAGATGTATTCCGAATGGTACTGCAAATTCCATTCTGGTACCTGATCAATAGAATGACTGAGTCATCTACCCTTGTGTGTTTCCACTACTCTGGCTATAGAATGGCTGCTTTTAAAATTCTCCTTTTGTAAGATCAAATTAATTTACAATCGCTTCCGCCTGGTGTTGGTGGACAGGACTCAGCAACAACTGTCTTGAGCTTTACTCACCTTTCAATCAGTGAAGTGTTAATCGAGTGCCTACTCTGCTCTGCTCTATGCAAGTCAGTCTCCATGCTGAGGGAGGAAGCAAGCTTGTGTGGTGAGAGACTCATTACTAAAAGAGAGGCAGACCAGGTCAGAAAAGCATTTGACAGATTTCAGTAACTTACTAGTAGCTGAGAATCTTCTATTATTGATGACATCTTTACATATTTTTCAATATTTCTTCCTGTCTCTAACCAATCTCTATTAATCTCATTTTATCCTGTTCTTCGGTCCCACATCTCCCAAAGGATGCCCTAGTTTTATGAAACTACTGTTCTCCCGACTCTCAGCCTCAGCGTCATCTTCAATGTGTTCATTGGCTTTGGTGATTTTAAATGTCAGTCGGCAACGCAAGCAGTAAAGTAGATTGAAACAGAACTCAGACAGGACTTCCTCATTTATGCTATTCCCTGAAGAGATGATAAACCAAAAGAAGGATCCTAATGAGGCCTAAATTTGTAGTTCCATCCGCGCGGATTGTATGACTGTTTCCTTTGATTTTTTTTCTCTGACCCCTCCGGCTGGTATTTGAAAAGTGTGAAGTTTAAATGCTACAATGTCATCATGTAAAAATACAAGAGCCTCCAGGAGACGCACCAGAGGACAACTCTACTACTCACGGTTCTCCCCCAAGGGATCTCCTGAGGGAACAGGACTGGGCTTTGTTGCCCCATTCAGAAACTGTCACAGCGGTTTCCATGCTGCCACTTTGTTGTCCATCCGTAACCCCTGGCAGCTAGGGTCACCTCTCTTCTAGCGAACCAGATCCTCTATGCCCTTCCAGGCCGCTAGGACCTCCTCACGCAGCCTTCCCTGCCTATCCCCGTTATCTCCAGCTCCAGAGTCACCAGTCGAGTCCCTCCACTGCTGGGTCTTTCATGACACACAGTCCTGCTTGCTTTGCCGCCATCAACACAGCACCAGTCGCTGTAAAGGCACAGTACTGATTCCATAAATCGACGGTGTCCTACCTCCCACGTTGGACTGGCTGGTTGCAGTCAGAGAGATCAACAAAAACTCAAAGAGTATCTTCTTAGATCTGCTACCCACAGCCCCATGTCCCGGGACAGGGAGGGCCCAGAGGCACCCAGACCAAGCCCACCCCACCCCCCAACACCACCACCACCCCGCATTGCTACCCGTGGTCCCCTCCAGAGTGGAAGTTCAGTGTGGCACCAGGGAAGGGCTGTGTACACACACAAGCTGTGTTTCTGCTGATGGCAGGGTGTGTGTGTATGTCTTGTCTTTCTGTTATCAGATATGGATATTCTAAGAGAAATATAGATGAACATTTATTGGATAAAATTACCCAGAGGTCTTTTTTACTTAATTTCAAATGCCATTGTAAGCATCAGCCAATGAAGGATTATTTCCAGATACTTGAGGTGCTCCGACTTCAGGAGCAGCTGTTTTCAGAAGAGAGATGTAGAATTCGGCTCCTCACGAACAGGTTAGAATCAGCAGTGCACATGGCCTGCTATATAAAACAAATGATCCATCTCGTTAGAAAGGCTGCTCTTAGGGCTAATGTAGACAGAGGCTTTCCATCCTCACTTGAGAGGGAAATAATTGAATTTTCAAACCTTTATAGAATTCAAAACAATCATGTTAAAAAGAATTGCTAATCAAGTCCTATTGTTGCCCCATGTTATTTGACAAAACATAATCAAAGTGATTTTGAAATAACCTGTACCATGTATAGCTTCACTCTTCTCCCTTTCAAGTAACTATTCTGGAAAAAGTTGTGAATAGTGTGATTCTCCAGTGAATTAGAAATTTTGCTTTATTTTTTAATTTTCTTTTTAACATTTATTTTTGAGAGACAGAGCGTGAGCAAGGGAGGGGCAGAGAGAGGGAGATACGGAATCCGAAGCAGGCTCCAGGCTCTGAGCTGTCAGCACAGAGCCCGATGCGGGTCTCTAACTCACGAACCATGAGATCATGACCTGAGCCGAAGTCAGATGCTTAACCAACAGCCACCGGGGTGCCCCAAAATTTTGCTTTACTTTTTAATGTGACCTGCTTCATAACTCACTTCAGAAAAAACTGAATCTCTCACACCTTTTTCAAAAGCAGACGCTCCTGAAAGTCTACTTTCCATACCATTTCGGATTTTTAAAAGCATGAAAACAAGATTTAACTACCTCTGTAAAAACGAGCCGTCACAAAATACCTGCCATCCACGCCACATCAAGTCGCAGCCCCAGAAGAAAGGAGACGTAGCACCGTACTGTTAACTGCCAGTTTTTTGGACTCCCTAGCTACACTGAGAGTCACCTGAGGGTAGAAGCTGTGTCTGGTTTTCCCCAGTGCTTAGTCCCCTACATTCCTGTGTCACCCTCTGTGGTCTCTATTTCTGCGAATGAAACCACCACTCTCTGGGGGGAAAACTGGGCATGGTCTTCAATGCTTCCTTCTGCTTCTCGACCTCTCACCCCAATACTCGTTCCACAACAGGATCAGAAGGCTGCACAGATAGGAAGCATTCACAGTACGTCCAGGGGTGCCATTCCCTAGGCAGTCGGTGCAAACGGGCGCTCGCTGGAGTGACGTGCTTAATGTGGAGGCCCTGGATCCAGAGCCAGGTCTCATCTATTCTACTTCCTAAATATTTCTCCATTCTTACCACTTCTCTCTCTCCTTATGGCTAGTACTCACCATAATCTCTTACCTTAATCACCCAAAAAGTCTGCCAAGTTGCCCTGACTCCAGAGTTCCCATGCAACTGTGCTTCCCACAGCAGCCAAAGGAAACTTTGTAAGAGACAAACCCGACGGCCACTCCTCTACATGAGTCCTCCCTAGTTTCCCAGTTCGCTCACGGGAAAGTCCACGTCTCTTATGATCTTGGCCCGGCTTTCTTCTCCCGCTTCACTTCTTACCGCTGTCTAGCTCCCACTCCATGCTCCAAATTGAAGTTTGTCACACAGGGCTTGTATTTTGCATCTGTTCCTGCTGTTTCCCATGACCCCCTCGTATTACCTGTCATAACAGCTGTCATACTGTTTATTTTATCCCCCACACCCTTTTAAGCTTTGTGAAGGCAAAACCCATTTTTAGTTTGTTCATTTTGTATTTCCAGTGCCTACTAGCGCCTGGCATTAGATGTGTACTCAATAAATACTTGTTGAATGAATGAATGAATGAATCAATCAAACAATAGTTTAATTAACATTAAATGTTTTAATGTTAAACAGAATTCTGACAAATATCAAACATTAAGAAATTATAAAAAGGTAAACTGAGCTTTGGTACTGTGTTCAGAAATGCTTTCTCTTGACACAAATAATAGATTTGTAGGTTGGGAGTAAAATCTTTCTCAAACGTATTAACATAAATTACTGAAATGGTAGGGACTTGGGTACACTGTACCCATTTGTTGAAATTAATGCAAATAAAAAGACTGGGAGGAAGTCAATAAATGGTAGGCATGGTATTTCTGTCAATAATGCAAGATTATGATTTAAATGTTGCTATCAAGTAAGGAGATATTATTAACAGTGAAGAACTAGATTTTTAGAAAGAAATCACTTGGGAAGTTCTGCTTTTGTGTTTTTATGTCAATTAGTGATATTACTATTATTAACAAAAATAACTAAGCACTATATGACAGGCACTGTATTAAATGCTTATATGTATCAGCACATTTATCTTTCCAAGAATCTTTGAAGGAGGCACTTACTATTTTTCTAATTTTACGTAAGGAGAAACTGGGGCTTAGGAAGGTTGAGCAATGTGTCTGAAGTCACAAGCAATTTTTTTTTTTTTTCAACCTTTATTTATTTTTGGGACAGAGAGAGACAGAGCATGAACGGGGGAGGGGCAGAGAGAGAGGGAGACACAGAATCGGAAACAGGCTCCAGGCTCTGAGCCATCAGCCCAGAGCCTGACGCGGGGCTCGAACTCACGGACCGCGAGATCGTGACCTGGCTGAAGTTGGACGCTTAACCGACTGCGCCACCCAGGCGCCCCTGAAGTCACAAGCAATTTAAGTGCAAATAGGATGTACACTCGGAATACAAAATGACTCTCTTTACCACTGTGCTATTTTGCAGTAAGGCAACAATAAGACATTCTCTAAAGACTATACTTTATTCCAACAACTTTCAGGAAATGAGGGTAACTATAATAATAATAACAGTAGTAACTTAAAGTGCTTGCTATATATCTGGACTCTGTTCCAAACACAAATGTGTCCACTCCTTTAATCCTCACGGTCACCCAATGAGGTAGAAACTACTAGTATGTCCATTCCACAGCTCAGGAAACCAAAGCAAAGCAAAGTGATTGGTCCAAGGCCCTAAAGCCAGAAGAATGAAGCCAGAATACAAATATGAGAAGTCTGATTCCAAACCTTTGTCTTAACCACTACATGAAATCTTCTCTGGGGGAAAACAGGCTAACATTAAAACTAATACAAACTCTAAAGTAAATTTTGGGATCCATACTTCAGTCAGTCCACAGTCTGTACGGAAGTAATGCAAAATAAATATTCCACGTCGGACTAGTTCAAATAGCTGTAGGTTACAAACAGAAGACACTATATTCTGAACCTGTTCTGCTATTTTTTAGCTCTGAAATCATGGAACCATTTACCCTGTAAATCTCCTTTTCTTGTGTTAAAAATGGCAATCACCTATCGATAGATGAATGGATAGAGAAGATGTGGTGTATATATAAAATAGAGTATTATTCAGCCATAAAAAAAGAATGAAATCTTGCCATTTGCAACAACATGGATGGAGCTAGGGAGTATAATGCTAAGTGAAGTCGGTCAGAGAAAGGTAAGTACCATATAATCTCACTCATATGTGGAACTTAAACTAAATGAGCAAAGGAAAATGAGAGAGACAAACCAAGAAACAGACTCTTAACTATAGAGAACAAATTGATGATTATCAGAGGAAAAGTGGATGGAGGGATGGGTCACATAGGGAATGGGGATTAAGGATGACACTTGTGATAAGCACAGGGTGATGTATGGAAGTGCTGAATCACTGTTCTATACCTGAAACTAATAGAACACTATACTATGTTATACAGTATGTTAAACAGTATGTTAACTACACTGGAATTAAAATTAAAAACCTAAAAAAAAGGCAATCACACTACCTGCCCTAACTAGTTTGTAAGCCTTTTCTAAGGATCACTCAAGAAAATAAAGAACATTTTTGCCTTTGGAATGCACTTCTGTACATCAAAATCATTAAAGTCATTCAAAATTCAATACTTGTAGCTTATGTGTAAGCTATACATAAAAGGCTCAATTTCATTGCCTTTCCATAGGCCAAAATAGAATACACTTAGCAATGCGTAACACTAACGAGCTCTATCCTAAGTGTATTGTAAAATACGGAAACTACACAAATTATGATCATTTTAATAATGCATACCATGAACTGGGAAATTATCTTTGTAAACACAGTACGATTATTACTCAAGCAATTTTAAGCATATGTACGATGTAACAAAATAACCAACAGTATAAAATAAAAGTCCTAAATTTGTCTTACTGATGCTGATAACAGCTACAGAATGGTGACCTAATATTTTAACAACCCGATGGCCTCTAAAATTAACTTAGTTTTAACATTTACAGTATGCCCAAAATTTGCTAGGGTGCTGTTTTAAACATTTACTAAAGTTGATTCCTATGGTAAAACTGAATTAAATTGTGTAAATACCAATTGAGTGCTTTATTATGTGCAAAGGACTGTGCCAGGCAGTATGTAAAACAAGGATGAGTAGAATACCAGCCTTGCTTTCAGAAGCTTTACAGACACCACACTTACACGCAAACACACACGCAAGCTACATGCTAATTACAACTTTAAACATTCTTAGTTTTTAAAATTCTTACGCTTTACTTTAGATAATTGTCTGCCTTTAGAAGACATAAATGTGGATATCAGGAGGAAAAAAACCTGCAGCATGAAAACTGAAGGATGCTGTGACTCTCTGATTAACCTGTTCAAAGAGTCTAGTTAACAGTGTCCTTTCAACATAAATACTAAAATTATACACCCTGCAATTAAATAATTTTATATTACTTAACTAGCATAATGATATTAAAACTATAGAAACTATTTATCTACTTAACCCCTATACCAATATAACTTTATTCATATGCTAACGAAGCAACCTTGTCACATGGCTACAAAAACATGAAAATATAAAAATACTGTTATAATTATGGGGTACTGAAGAATGTAGATTTAAAATTTTAAATGACGTAAAATATTGATCTTCATAAGTACACATTATATTTTTATTTCTGGAAAATGACTTATAAATAGATCACTTGAGGACATTTCTAATTACTTAAGTCACAGTTCACTGTATAATTAACTTACGTCTACAGATAGTCCTTTCCTGTATGATTTCATTTTCTTAAAAAGCAAAATACTTTATTTTCAGTAAAAAAAAATTTCATATGAAAGTCAAAGACAATAATTTCAGTAAACAATGGAAATCAGCTACCATATCTTTTCTTAAGTTCTTCAACAGACTTATCCTTCAATCCTGATTTGTCTATGTGATTGAACAACACATGTGCAACTGAAAAAAAGAGAAAAGAATCATTTTAATCTCCATTTTTTAAAAACTAAGTGAAACAAAAACTAAAGGCAATAACCTGATTTGCCAAGTAAAACTCTTCATATTTTAAAGCAATAATCATTAGGATTATTTATAAATTCTAATTCAGATATTTAAAAAGGTTATCTGAGAAAAAAACACAGGAAACTAATGACATTTCTTACCAGAATATTCTGTAAAAAAATTCCCCTACTTTCTCAATAACATTAAACTTGCAGATTAAACTTAACTGATTCTGTACTACCTTAAACACTTTTGCCTGTGTAACAAGTATACTTTTAGTTTCTTAATATTTCAATTAACTTTTTCAAACTGAAAACATTTTATTTTAAAAGAAAATTCTGTATCACTACTGTAAATTAAAACTTCCTAATAACATCACAAAATCATGTTAGTGATACATTTTTATAATATCTAATAAAATATGTAACCCTTAAAAGTTAAAACAGGGCGATTGGGTGGCTCAGTCTGTTAAGCGTCTAACTCTTGATCTCAGCTCAGGCCATGATCTCATGGTTTGTGGGTTCTAGCCCCAAGTCAGGCTCTGTGCTGACACTATGGAGACTGCTTGGGATTCTCTTTCCCTCTCTCTCTCTCTGCCCCTCCCCTGCTTGTGTGCTCTCTCGCTCTCAAAATAAAAAAATAAACTTAAAAAAATAAAACAGAATTTGCCTATAAATCATATAAAATCACCTTTCATACCACTGAATGG